TTTATTTACAATTACAACTTGCATTAATATTTATTTTGTCTAACCTCTCTCCCTCGAGGTTCATGTTATGTGTCTGGCTCTGCTTTCAGGAGGGTTCAGGTTTCCCTCAGAGATAAATGAGGGTTTTTCCAGACGGGCAGCAGGCACGCAATAATAAATTAAATTACTGATCATATCTGTATTGAGTTTTTGGCAATTTAATAAACATGGGTTTGGGACAGGAGCCGATTACTTAAGCGGCTCCTGGTTTGGGATGAAGTGCTCGCATACAGGTCACCCTCTGCCCCATAGACTCTTGTTACTCCTTAAACCCGGGGAATTAGACATCTAGAGAGGTCTTTCCACCTCGCCAGTACCCAAGGGGGATTATCACCTCCACTCTCAACCTTGGGGGATTATCACCCCCGAGAGAGGATTATCACTCCCTAGAGAGGATTACCACCTCTCACTTCCCTGGGGTATTATCACTCCCCTGGCGAGGATTATCACCCCCTAGAGAGGATTATCACCTCTCCCCTTGTCGATTTCGGATTGTTACACCAATACGTAGAGAAAAGTGACCTGCTGTCCATATTGGAGTACTTCACCCCTTACCCCTTTTCCCCACAATAATTCTGGTCTAGTTATTTGCTTTTATCTAAAGGGCTTTGGGTTTGGAGCATTATTGTCTCCTCGATGAAAAAGCGGATTGCAAGCTGTGTTGGTGATAGTTGTCGTTGGATGAATTGTAATGATCTAAAGTTGAATGAAAATAAGACTGAGGTTGTGCTCATCTCTTCGAAATTTCGTAATGGTACTTATCTGGATTACGTGAGCACTCATTGTCCTAGTTGTCCGTGTAATGTCTATAACAGCATCGCGAGTGTGTACTGAACGGTAGTTTATTTCAATTAAGTTTTATCGGGGATTTGGCTGTTGTTCGTGTTATATTAGGGCGTCCGTAAACAGCGAAGACTTCGTGAGGTGAGAGTTTACTGACTGCAAGTTAACTTTAATTTTGCCAAAAAAGGGAGACGGAACATTCATTAATTTTTCCTTTGCAAGGAACAAAAATCCTTGCCCTCTCCCCGAAGGGATATTCTTTTGCCTCGAAAGGTCACGCCATCGAGCACACAAGACTAAATTTTAACTCATTTCGGTTTGTGCTTGAGTGAAACGGAAAATAGAATCAACAATGGCGAAAGGTGCTCGATATTGGCTAGTAACCGTGTGTATAACGCTACTTCGCGTAAGAAACGGATGTACCAAAACTGACAAAATTGTAGAGGGAACCTTGAACACCTCAGAGGTAGGAAAAATCAGCTACCATACTGTGACGGAGTTTCAAATTTACTTCACGAAATCCTTTTGTATAAATACTAATCATCGTGACGATGCAGTTTGCTAATTCCTGCGTACTATTTTACAGAACTGGGCTTTCATAACCAGTTTTCTTTTCAAGAAATCCGCCCCAGCACAACTGAAATATCATTTTGAATATCCTTTGGTAAGTTATTTTCTATTAACGTCTATATTTACTTCTTAATGATCTGCTACATGTCTCTTGTACCCTAGCAACTCAGAATATTCAAGACCCCTTTATGTTATGATTTGTCGGGAGCATTTGGACTTGCTTAAGTCACCCTACAAAAGCAGAGTATGGAGGTCTATGGAGGGCCGCGATATCGATGTGATCGTGGCGTGAAAAGGCCTTTGAGAGAGAGTCTAGGAGCAACCTTGGTCTCCGTGGCGAAACGGCTAGCTGAGCAACATTCCGTCGTATTTTTCGCTCTATCCACCTGATGGGTTTACCACCTGGGGGCAGGGGCTTACTAGTCTCCTTCGCAGCCTCTCGGATCGGAGTCACGCAATGCTCCCCGCCCCCATGACAAGATGGGCATCAGCAAACACGTAGGCCAGGCAACGGTATCTCTGGGCATGAGATATATCAGGGGCAGATCAAGGGGGAGGGTGCAGGGGGTGCGCACCCTCCCCTCCTCCGAGATACCTGCGGTTTTCTAATACAACTGGTATTCTGCAAAACAAAACAAAACAAAACAAAACTATGTGGTTTATTGGTGTTGAAGTAGAGGAAGATACGAGTGCACCCCCTCCTAAAAAAAATCCTGGATCCACCCCTGTATATTATGCGAATTATTAAGAGAATTTGGGGGACGAAATCTGTTTATATACAAACAAATTTTCTTCTTGTTAATTAAATGTGCCAACCACTGGGACAAAAGAACCTTTTGTTTCACCAGCTGTTGGTTGGCACATATTCACTTACCCAACAGGAAGGGAGAGGAACCTTGAGTGACAAGCGTGACAATAATTTTGTGTGAAATAACTTAACGCCAAATCTCACTTTCCTTTTAACAGATGTTTTTGCAAAGACCAGAAAACAGTGATTTTAAGTGAGGATCACAACATATTACGCGCAAGTAATAGCCCTGTCACGTTTGTCACACACAAGCGTTTTGCGGTCCTCTTCTTTCTGGCGTCCTGTTGCGTAAACATACTA